TCTGTCTCCTGGCCATTTCAATTCTGGTGTGGAGTCCCTCTTACAGTTTTTTCATTTCCATTATTGTACTTTTCATTTTCAGAATTTTTATTAGGTTATTTTTAGTAGTTCATATCTCTGTAGATATTCACTATTTGTTGAAGCACTGTTGTCATACTTTCTTTTAATTTTTAAAATGATAGTTACCTGTAGTTTTTTTTTTTTTAAGAAAACATATTTACAGTAGGTACTTTGGTGTTCTTGTCTTCTAACAGCTGGACCCCCTTAGACAAAATTTCTACCAACTGCTTCCTCCTTCTCTTTTCCTTTTTCTTTTTCTATTTTTTTGAGATGGAGTCTCACTCTGTAGCCCAGGCTGGAGTGCAGTGGTGCGATATAGGCTCACTGCAACCTCCGTCTCCTGGGTTAAAGCGATTCTTCTGCCTCAGCCTCCCGAGTATCTGGGATTACAGGCATGCGCCACCATGTCCAGCTAATTTTTGTATTTTTAGTAGAGACAGGTTTTACCATGTTGGTCAGGGCGGTCTCAAACTCCTGACTTCAGGTGATCCACCTGCTTCGGACACCCAAGGTGCCTCCTTCTCCTTTCTTATCATGCTTTCTTGTTTCTTTGCAGATCTCATAATTTCGTATTAAAAGTGAAATACTTTAAGATTATATATTATAGTAACTCCAGATTCTGATCCAAGGTGGTTGTTGTAGCTGTTTGATTGCTGTTTAATAATTTGCCTGAACAAAATCTGCGGTTTCTGTTTTACTGCAGAAGGCAGCTGCAGATGTCTCCATTCAGTTTTTAAAAGTTCTTTGCTTTGTTTGTTTTTAAGCCTGGGTCTGTAGGACTTCCCCCGTGTCTGTCCAGAGTGCTAGTCAGCAAATGATTGCCAATGTTGTGCTAATCCACCTTGGGCAAGTAAGGTTTCCATCTTCTACTGATATATCAGTATATGCAGATAATGTGTTCAAAGTTCAATCTGCATTGTATTTTTTTTCTTTCGTATCTCCTTAGCACACGTGTGCATGTTCACAGTCAGTCTGGATAGCTTGGGCCTTCTCAGGTCTCTCCTGCTTGGATATGTCAAGAGTTTATCAAGGCTCCCTATTGTTGTCTCATTTCCTACATCTCCATGTGAAGTTTCTGGCTACTCTGCTGGTCTGTGCTTGCCCCATGCAGAACCTCAATCCCAGGCTAGCTGAATGATCATTCCTATTCATTTGCCATTGAGATTGCTACTATTCCTGACAATGCCACTGGGTGTGTTTTTTCACTGCTCCACTCCAATCAAGTCAGCCCCCTCTGGCAAAACTACTGGTCATGACTTGACTGGCCTTGGGGACCAGGTCAGGGGTGGGAGATGGGAGCAGCCCCAGGCAAGAATGCTCCTTACTTCCACTTTCCTTATCTGAATAACCACTTTTCAATTTGGTGTGATTTACAGGTTTCTGCAATGGATGTTTTTTGTTTTCTTTTGTTTTGTTTTGGGATGGAGCCTCACTCTGTCAACCAGGCTGGAATGCAGAGATGTGATCTCATCTCACTGCAACCTCTGCCTCCCGGGTTCAAGTGATTCTGCTGTCTCAGCCTCCTGAGTAGCTGTGACTACAGGCATGCACCACCACACCTGGCTAATTTTTTTTTTTGTATTTTTGGTAGAGACAGAGTTTCACCATCTTGGCCAGGCTACTCTTGAACTCCTGACCTCAACTGAACTGCCCACCTCTGCCTCCCAAAGTGCTGAGATTACAATGCATGAGCTACCATACCCAGCCTGCAATGGCTGTTTTTGACATTGCTGAGTTTATCATTGCTCCTCACTTTGCTATACTGAAAAGTCCTGCCAGCATTTACTTTTAAGGGCTCAGATTTAGAAGTACAGAAGACCTGGAGGACATCTGCAAGAACAAACCTTCTAGAAAGCAGATTTACTAAATTTGCAAATGCTGACTCTTGAAAATGGGGAGAGGAGCCATTGAGAATCTCTGAATTGCTGTCCATCCATCCATCCATCCATCCATCATCTATCCATTTCATCCCATCATTTATCAAACCTTTATCCAGTATTCACTGTCTAGGCACTGTGCTAGCAGCTCAGAGAACAAACACAAAAGAAACCCTCTGACTCTCAAGAAAAGCATACAGGAAGAAAGAAAATCATGGTGATAGTCAGTGCCCTAGCAAGTAGCTCTGAGAGAGTCTACACAGATCACGGAAGCTTGGGTGGATAGGGGTGGAAGTGCAGCTGAGTAGGGTATTCTGGCCTGGAAGTAGCTTCTCCAGCAGCCCTCCTCACCCCTACATTCCTGCCTGACACACTTCAGTCCTTACCTAGAGACTACTGCAGTTGTATCTCTCATGTCTAACATGGAGCCCGCTTAGCTTTGGGGGGAATTGTCTTCCCTGCTTCATATCACAAAACTCTAGACAGCAGTTCTTTATCTTCAACTGAGAACTATTTCATGCTCTGGCATAGCAAAGTGTCTGCAGACAGAGATAAGCTGTGTTTTCACATTTTTGTCTACAAAATTAATGATCTACAACTACAATAAAACCATCATCTCCTGTCACCAGCAGGGATCACAGGACATTCTAAGCTTAAAAAAACGCCAGCAACACAAAATCTCAATGGCAAAAAGTGCAGATGTTTTTATTTTTCCTTTTCCTTCAATAGTGTTTTCATTTGTTAGAAACATGGAATCATAAAATGTTATTGTTGGAGCATTCCTAGGAGATTTTCTAGCCTAAATCCTTTATTTACCAGGAAGGGGATGGGAGACGTGTTCAAGGGTGCTGGGTCAGCAGGGGTGCTGGGTCCAGGACCTGGCCTCTCCATCATCAGCCTTGTTTTCCCTTCTTCAATTGCCCATCAGTAAGTTTCAGTTCTCTACCTGAGCTGGGGGGCCCAGTCCCGTTCTTGGAAAGCCGGCTGCCGGAAGTTCCCCACCCTCCTCATTTCCAGCTGCCCCATCTGCAACTGCTGTCTCCAGACTCTGCTCCCTGCTCAGGACTCTGCCTCTGGCCACTTCCCTTATGCTTCTTTCAGACTCAGGGAACCTTTGAGGAAGGCTGACATTTCGCAGGTAGGCACCTGCATGATGTACCAGTTGTCAAAACAGTAAAATGTTTGCATTCCAATTTGTAAACGGCCACTGCCTGATGCTGAGAGGGCCCTCCCCTCTTCTCTTGACCATCAAATAATTCAGCAGCTGAGGGATTAAGAACCTGCAGGGACCTCCAGGCCCCTGCTCTAGCCCTAAGGCAGGTATCTGTTCTAATACTTTCCTGATTGTTAAGTATTTTCAAGACAAGCCCTGCTAAAGAGCATGGGCTGTGCAGCCAACCTGTCTGGGTTGAAACCCTGGTTTCCCTCCAGCTCTGTGATGGGACAGGTTGTTTAAACTCTCCAAGCCTCAGTCGCCCGATCTGCAAATATGGATATGCACTTCATAGGGTTGCTTTGAGAATCACGCTAATAAAAATGTTCTGGGCCGGGCGCGGTGGCTCAAGCCTGTAATCCCAGCACTTTGGGAGGCCGAGGCGGGTGGATCACGAGGTCAAGAGATCGAGACCATCCTGGTCAACATGGTGAAATCCCGTC